TTATTTTTTTTTTCACACAGCACTGTTGCATATGGAGCTGACGCCGCCCACATTATGACCGATAATAATCAGTAAATACGGAACTGGTCCTGATGTCGTAGTAGTAATTCGTAAAGTTATTTCCATATATGTAGATGTATGTTTAGTTGTATAGCAAATATATTCACTAATACAAATATGATAGGTGTACTGTTGTTTTTGTGTGTTATGTCTTCGTTATTTTCAAAGTTGTTGTGTAAGTGGAGCAAAACAGAATACCGATCAAGCTATTAATGTTTTTGTATCTTCTCAGCTTAGGCATAAAATAACACGAATTGAATGAATATGCTGCAAAACAGTGTTACTAGGTATATCCCAAAGACACATCTTATCGGCAATTGCTATTCAGAGTCGCAGGTGGGGTGGGGTCTGTCGAACCCATATACTAGTACGAATGTCTAAAATAGCCTAAATAAAACTGTCCGTATTTGGAAAAAAAAAAACGCCCGCAGCGAACAATAACAGAAACGCCGATACAATACAACTCTCGATTTTGCAGTTATCAGGGTACGTACGCATGTGCTTTGAATTACTAGTACGTATCGGCAAATCCGGTGCGCATGCGTGTTATGTTATTATAACGAATGCTTGTATGTTTTCTGTCGAAACAACTTTTTTTTCACGATGGATCATACTCTTTTTGGTAAGATTCAAGAACAAACTACTTTTTAAAATACCTTATCCACATTGCCGCCTCTAATGTACGCACGTGAAAGACGAGAGCATAGAACACACGACAACGTCAAAAAAACAACAACAAAAAACGGAATGAAACATGTAATGTAGAAAGCCACGAAACTTGTTTTCCCACACTAATAGTGTTCCACTTTCTCCTACTATCCCAAATACCATGGCTACATAGGGCCGGGAACAATACATGTGATGATGGGGAACAATGGAACAATATTTCGCACGGTGGGGGGGGGGGGTCTCGCTCTCAACGAGAATTCGGCGGCCGTATAAGGTTTTTAATCATTGTTAGCTGTGAGTGGCATCTTTTAGTTAACAAATGGATTATTTTTTGAGATTTGAAATAATACACAGATCTACAAAGCTGTTATGCATCAAATACATTATAAGTGAAAATTGTTGGTGTTGGTTGATACTAGGCGGGAACTAAATCTCGTCGGAGTCGTGATGCCCCAGCTGAATGTGAAAAATCTTATAACAGATTTCTAGGTTACGATGTTCTATTCTCTTGAGGGAAATGCTGAATTGTTCGAGTTACGAACATTGAGTTACGAACATCGAGTTACGGACATCGAGTTACGAACATCGAGTTACGGAATTCGAGTTACGGACATCGAGTTACGGACATTGAGTTACGGACACCGAGTTACGAACATCGAGTTACGGACATCGAGTTACGGACATCGAGTTACGGAATTCGAGTTACGAACATCGAGTTACGGACTTCGAGTTACGGAATTCGAGTTACGAACATCGAGTTACGGACATTGAGTTACGGACATCGAGTTACGAACATCGAGTTACGGACATCGAGTTACGGACATCGAGTTACGAACATCGAGTTACGGACATCGAGTTACGAACATCGAGTTACGGACTTCGAGTTACGAACATCGAGTTACGGACATCGAGTTACGAGCATCGAGTTACGGACATCAAGTTACGGACATCGAGTTACGAGCATCGAGTTACGGACATCGAGTTACGGACATCGAGTTACGGACGTCGAGTTACGAACATCGAGTTACGAACATCGAGTTACGGACATCGAGTTACGAACATCGAGTTATGGACATCGAGTTACGGACATCGAGTTACGAACATCGAGTTACGAACATCGAGTTACGGACATCGAGTTACGAACGTCGAGTTACGGACGTCGAGTTACGAACGTCGAGTTACGGACATCGAGTTACGGACATCGAGTTACGAACATCGAGTTACGAACATCGAGTTACGGACTTCGAGTTACGAACATCGAGTTACGGACATCGAGTTACGAAACATCATATTTTTGAAACCACGCCCACTTTTTAAAACCACGCCCAAATTGTAACTCGATGTTCTATTAACAGTTAACATAACTTCGAGTTACGGCAACGTAGAATGTTCAAACATCCAGGCACTGTCTTTCATTTTGACCAGGCAATAAGCTTGCTTGTTTCTTTTGGGCCTAGTCATTGTGCGCGTTTGTAATAAATTACCGGTAATAAATCTTGTGAGCTTGAGCCAACACAGTTTTCTTGAGGCCGGTATCAAATATGATTATCCCCAAGTGGTTGATATTGACCACTGTCTCTCCCGATAACAGCCACTTGGAGAAGATAATTCTTGATATATTCCTGTTTAATTATCAAGAAAGATCCTAACAAGACAACAATCGAGGTAAAAATAAATTAGCCCCCAGTGGAAAATTGCATTCGAAAGTGTCACCCATCCTTTTAAAGCGGGGGGAGTCGTCACCTGCGCATGCGTCAGATGGCCATAGCGTGTCATTGTTTATAAACAAGCGTCTACCCATGAGCCTTTGCGTTTTAAGCGTGTGTTGTTATCGTCGCTTGGGACTCAATTCCCACGTGTGCGCAGGTGACGACCCTCCCGCTTTAATCGTCAACAACAATCTGATTGTCCCGGATGTTATGACATCAAAGACCAGTAATACACTGAATGACGTCAGAGACAAGAAATACGCTTGGATGGCTCAATGTCAATATTTACCAAATGATAATGTGACCATTCTTTATCATAGACTGTCCAACACTTGTCGGATAATACGGAGTAGTACTTGATTTGAAGAAGTTGATACCCGATAATAAAGCAGCATGTGACAGACAACTTGCTTGATTTATTGACTAGCACGTAAAGAAACAATGTCGGAACAATTGTGTGATATTGTCATTATGTTTAATGCTAGGAAATGACTTACTTTGTAACAGGAAATGAACAACAAGATAATCAATATTAATATCTGGTTACAGGTGCAGAGTATCATATTATACTTCCGCACTGTCATATATATCATAAAGATAGCTCTACAAATTTTGAAACGAGTTAGATATATAAAGTGAAAAATTGCAAGTCTCCTAATGTGGCATTTGAACCAACAATCTTCAGCGTACACCATTGAACCAAGAAGTCGACTCGACTGGCAATAGAGCTGACTGGAATACATGAACTGACTAGCTATGGGTCTGACTGAAATCGGTGTACATTATTTGCTTGTGTAGTACCACCACTCGTTAACGATCACCGCACTGTGGATTATATAGGTCATAACGTTAACAATTAAATCATTCTGGAAATAACAAAATTTTTACAATTGGATATGACGTTAAAACGTGAAAGCGAACGAAGTACGACGTATGTAGGCATCGGTCGATGCGATCCCGTGCTGCCTGAGCGATAGCTTCATTACTATTGTATGTATTTTCTTTGTTAAAGGGCGGTGGTCGTCGTACCGCGTCGTGTTCGATATAGGACTCATAGCGACGTATACAACGCGTGTAAAATTCATTATTTGTTTACATGAAATTCGAACACGCGCTGCGCGACGACCACCGCGCTTTAATAAGGCGTTTAATGCATGCTGGTGACGTGACCCCATTACAATTAACAATCAAACGTCGAGACGAGTGCAGACACGTTTTGAAATAGACCGGGATACTGGGCCCGGATACAATTTTTTACGAAATGGTACATTCTCCAGGCATTGACCAAGTCTCTGCCACATGTGAATTGAATATTCTTGTATTCTTTAAAACGCGCGTAAGACACACGAGTGAACAACTCGAGTGCTCAAAACGCGTGAAAAACAAACGGTGATTGCACTCGGATCATTTCGGTAGAATTACATTGCTAAATACATTCGTGCATTGCTCGCACTGAACGTCAAACTGATTCTTCACTCTATTGTAATCTGAAGCGGGACTACTTTTTGTGTTTTGCGAAGTTTCGCGGATATCTAATACTTTGCTGAATTGTTATATATCACACTAACAAACTAAACTATGAATGATATATCTAACATATTTGAAAAAAACGCAATTATTCAGATTGATGTATAAAATACTATTTCGGAATTCCCCAGGCAAGCCATCAACGGAAATAATTATGCAGTAGAGGCTTGAAGAACAAAACGGGAAATTCCTTTTTTTCTCGGTTCTATTGTATAATAATAAAAAAAATCGTTATATATATATATATAGACGAAACAACAGAAAGACATTTTTGTTTTTTTACGACGGGTATTTGACTGAGTTTCATCAAACTAAAGCAATTTATAATGCAGTCCGACTACTGCCATTCAACAATGATGTCACACGTAATTTATTAACAAGTAATCGTTGGACTTTGTGTATATCTTACATCATGCCAAAACCTTGCAGTATTTTAAATCGTAAGAAACCAACTAGTTTTGAAAAGTTGGACTGATACATTTGAAGTGAGTAGTCAATACTGTTAATGCCATTGATTCAGAAGTTGAATTGCTTTCATGTTTGAAAACATTCAATCCCTGCGATACACTATTTGACTTTAAAAACTAGATATTTTTTCTAAATTCCTTCTCAAGGTTTTACGTTGTCGTAGTGGGGAGTTTAACTCTTAGCACGAAATCTGTGGTGCCATTACGAATTTTCAGTTCAAGTAATACAACGATGACCAAGTTATTGACTTGCCAAACAATATAGACGAACCAGTAAAACATGTTGGTATGTCTTTGACGTTTTCCTGAGTAAAAGGTTTAAAGAGGAGGAGTCGTCAGCTGCGCATGCGTCAGATGGCCACAGCGTGTCATTGTTTACAAACAAGCGTCTACCCACGAGCCTTTGCGTTTTGAGCGTGTGTTGTTATCGTCGCTTGGGACTCAATTCCCGCGCGTGCGCAGGTGACGACCCTCTCGCTTTAATACATAAATTACGTAAAGCGAATGAAAATCAGAGTATTGAAACAATGATTTAGTGCGATTTCTTTTTATGGTGTTAATAAGAGTTTTATACGAACAGCGATCAGCTGCCATACCCATACTATGATATAGTATGATTATGACCAAAATACGTAACCATAGTATTTCTACGAGTGATTCCGAAGATAAAAAACATAGTTACTGACTAGCAATGAAAAGTCCACGCTATTCATAATTCAAAACTTAGTTCGGGTACCTAAATATTCGGAATTT